TTTATAGGCCAGAATCTTAAATTTGAAATATTACAAAAGCCTAACTTATAAAACTATCTAAGGCGCTCCCGCAGAACACATTTTAGCTCCGAAATAGAACATAAAAATATGTCACAAAACAAATACTATTATAATTCAAACACATAACCCTTTCAGGTGATTTCAGAATCAAATTTGTGTTAGCACGACTACAAAAGAAAGTAACATTACATCTTGAAACAATATAAAATAACAAATAATATATCTGAAAACCCAGAACCTGAAGATTCTGAATCCGCTATTTTCTTCTTTTCTCTTTGGTAATGAGCCAAAATAATCTTCCATTTTCTCATTACCTCAGTCGAGTCAATTGAAACTTTGAGCCAAATCTTGAGTGCCGTCGTGTTTTTTGTTTCTGTTTTTATAATCATGGTGACTGGAATCCCATAGAAGAGGATAAGTTTCAATTGCTTGAATAAATTTTATAATCCTATCATTCGTCCAGTCCATTTTAAATTTCGTAAAAGAAGTGCGCGTACAAACAAATGTTTTCAGTCCAGGAGCGGAAGCAATACTGAGTTCGCGAACAACAAGTATGTATCCGCCGATCTAGAAGCTCCCGCACCTCTCCATCACCTTACTTATAACAGAAAGCAGAGCTATAGGCCTGTAAGAGTCGGTCTTAGATCCTTTTTTGGGACGGGTTGGACATGAGCAAACTTCCAAGTTTTCTGTGAAGTTGTCGGAATCCTAAGATATCTGGAAGAGATGCCAAAGAACTGGAGCAAGCTCCGCTGCACACCTCTTCAATAGAACGTTAGGAACTAAGTCCGGACCAGAAACTTTGTTGATGTCGAGCGACAAGAGCACCCGACCTACGGTCTTCACCATTCGCGACCCAATTTTCAATAGTTATTTTCACCGCCCGCTCCCCACACAATAACAATCTGGGTATACAATAATAATGTACCTCGAATATTTTGACGCTAAACTTACACTACAACCTTAATTACAAATCCTACAAAAATAAATAAATTTATAGATATTTGGCAACGCCGATATGCTGCATTGCCAAATCCGTAATCAATGCCTCTCTTCGCGAGAAGTTTCGAGTTATTCCGAACATTCTCGACCGTCTGCAAGAACGTGTATAATACTTACTGTGAATAAAAAAGCTTTACTTGCCTCTTATAAAGTTTCATATGAAATAGCCAGATGTAAGAAGCCTCACACTATTGGTGAATAGCTTATTTTGCCAGCTTCAATTAAAATTGTAGAAGCTATATTTCGAGATAATTTTGTCAAAACATTAGAGTCCATACCTGTATCAAATGATACGGTTGCCCGTCGAATTGGTGATATAGCTGAAGATGTACAGCATCAGCTACTAGGGAAGTTGCGAGACAAGTTGTTTTCAATTCAGCTTGATGAGGCAATGGACAGCAATAAAGATGCTCATCTTATTGCCTACGTTCGATTTTGTGATAGCATATCAGTAGTAGAACTAATTTTCTGTAAACCTATAGAACTCAAAGTATCAGCTCTCGCATTATCGAGGCAAACATACAGGGTTTGTCCGGAAAGTAATAGGACTGAGTTGATTTAAAAAAATGTATTGAGCCAATCGTTACAATTCTTTAAAAACTTTCAAAATAGTCTCCTTCTGCGTCGATACGGCGCTGCCAGCGCGATTTCCAAGCATCGAAGGCGTCACGGAAGAAATTCTCCGGAATAGCCTTGAGAGCCGCGGTGCATGCTGCTTGGATCCCCTCTGTCGTCTCAAAATGCTTGCCTTTCATTGGCCTTTTCAGGCGAGGAAACAAAAAAAAATCCGGGCGGGCCACATCTGGGCTATAGGGCCGCTGCGGAAGCGTTGGGATACCGGCCTTGGTCAGGTAGCTGTTCACAAGAAAGGCGGTGTGAGCCGGGGCGTTGTCATGGTGCATCTTCCAGTCGGCTGCGATGTGTTGTCGGAGCCGACTGACTCTTCGTTTGAGTCTCCTGAGCTCTTCCACGTAAAACTTGGTATTGACGGTTTGTCCAGGAGGAAAAAATTCATGGTGGACGATGCCTTTGATGTCAAAAAAGACAATGAGCATCGTTTTCACTTTGGATTTGCTCATTCTCTCGGGATCATACTCAAAGATCCACGACTCGTCACCTGCGATTACGTTATTCAAAAATTTTGGGTCACTTTCACACATGTTCAAATTTTTTGGCACACTTCCCTTCGCCGCAATTTCTGGTAGTCAGTGAGCACTTTTGGGACCATCTTCGCGCACACCTTGCGCATGTTCAAATGCTGTGTCACAATGTCATGAACCAGAGTTTGGTAAATTTAACATATGGGCAATTAAACGAATACTTAGTCGACGGTCTGAGTTCAAAACTTTGCGCACACGAGTCACATTATCGGTGTTTGTCGAAGTCGAAGGTCTTCCAGCAAGGTCTTCATCAGCGACCTCTTCCCGGCCCTCCAAAAAGGAAGGGGGGCCACCGAAACACACCATTTCTTGCTAAAGCAACACCTGAGTAAGCCTGCTTGATCATATCAAACGTCGCTGTCGCAGATTTACCGAGTTTCACACAGAATTTCATCGCGTATCTCTGCTCTAACGAACGCTGCATTTTCGGCTTGCACCACTCACAGAAACACGTCGCGCGAAAATGCCTGTTCTGACTCTTCAAGTGCTCGGAGACAACTGAGCAGCCGCTCATTCGTTAGCTAGGAACGCCCTCTACCAAATCCAGTCAGTGCGCGCACGCGCCGAAGTACAGTCATGGCGTAAGAAAATGAGTCCTATTACTTTTCGGACAAACCCTGTAGAGTGGAAGAGTGGAAGATCTGAAAGTATACAAGCTCTTGTAAAACAAAAATCTGCACTGTGCATCTGGACACATTGCATGATTCACAGAAAAGCTCTGACCTGAATATTGTGCTAACTACGGTTGTAAAAGTAGTTAATTACATAAAAATGAGACCTTTGAAAACTAGAATCTTTTCTGCACTTTTTAAACGTATGGGTGCAGTATATTCAGCATTACTATTCTATTGTGAGGCAAGATGTTTATCACGTGAGAACTGTTTACAACGTGTTTTTGAATTAAGACATGAAACCGCCGTGTTTATAGAAGGAGGAAACCGACCGGAAGCAGAGATATTTCGACATGGTTTATTTCTGATGAAGCTGAGCTACTTATTCGACAAACTAAATATCTTGGACCTCCAGCTCCAAGGAGCAGATACACATATATAGGATGCGAGTGATAAAGTTAACGACTTTTGTAGAAAATTGTAAATGTTGATCAATGTATTAAAACTTACAAGGTTGAAGAACAACAAATTTTAAAAAATATTTTCTTGCCAGCGACAAATTAATACCTGGTTGCGAGTGGGTAGGGAATCCCTTTCAAATTACCCCGAAGGTCCCTCAACTGCCGAAGAAGAAATCTTCATACACTTCACGGCAAATCAAAAAAACAGTTTTGGACAGGCGTGAACGATGAGGCATTAAAGACTACCTTTGCGAAACAGGATTTTCAGCGGTGGCTGCTTTGAAGACCAAATATAGATTGCAGCTAAATATAGAAAAAGAACTCATGGTGTCTGTTTCAAATATTAAACCTTGTTTCGACAAGCTTTGCTCGCCAAAGCAGGCCCAAGGGAGTCTCTAGTAATTATTGTCATTTTTTATAATTAATATTATTTATTATTATTTTTAATTTAGTATTGATAAATACAATCCTGTTTATAAGTGCACCTACTATATCGGTGTTAATGTGTATTTTATTATTGATTATATCAGAATTTTGTTTTTCTTTCCTTTTAGTAAATTAATCAATGATGTTAGTATTTTTTTCTGATATGCTCGTCCCTCCCATTCAATATTGACATGCCCCCTAGGGGGGCTCGCCCCCCAGGTTGAGAAACGCTGTTGTAATTACTTCATTATTAGTGGATGTTCTTTTTTCGATATAATTTAGTATGGTTTTATTGAAGCTTTATACCTTTATCAACTACGCCCCTGTTCCCAGCCAGACAAAGTATCGAAATCCAGGAACGAATCCCCATCACTCCGACAGACCGTTCTTGTGGCAGCTATCTACCGCAGTTAAAATGTTAGCGTAGGGCAAGGGGAATCCCAACCTGCCGCCTCAAGATGATAAATCACTCTTAGATAGTCGGCGCAAGTGGATTGTTAATAATTCTATACAAGTGGAATGTCGTTGCGTCTTATCGGAGCATCACTTGGGAGAGGGAGAGTTGATTCGAAGATTTGGCTGACATTGACTGACTGGATGAGTTAATTAATGTTTGCTCATTGCCTAGACCTAGATGTTTGATTTATTAGTTGCGCAAAAAATAGCTTGTAGTCCATGCAATATCGAATGACTGAAATAGTATCTTTGTTTCTTTACAGCAGTGGTCGCCAACCCTTTCAATAAACAGTGAGCCAGCTAGTCGTAAGCAATGTAAGCCAACTTAAATGGAATTATACACAGTTGTATGCGACATACATGTGTTTATTTTACTAATACTAATAGACTTAAATAAACTAATAACTAATAGATACTACATAACTACATCCACTCCTACCAATCGTCAATTTCGTCAGCTACAACGGTATGCCACATCCGATTCAATGAAGGTAACTAAAAATAAAAAAAGCAACGCACTATTTTAAACAAAAACATGCTCAGGTAAAAAAGGCGTGTTCAATGAGAAGCTTGACACTCAGACACACAGACAATTTTTTAAATGTTTGGAGTATGATCTGATACCGCCATTCGAATACAATTATCCAAATGTTCATCTGTAAGTCGGTATTTATTTTTAATAAACTTCATATTTGAATAAGAAGATTCGCACAAATATGTTGAACTAAATAAAGCTTGCACTTTCAAGGCGACACGACATAAAACTGAATAAGTATTTATCTTTACTTACTGAAGGCCAGATACATTTTGTATTTGAGCCTCATGATTTTATGATTAAATCATTTTGAAACGCAATCACTTACATTTCTATCTTCGCTAAAACTCTGCGTAATAGAATTTGCAGACTTTTGGGTATCAATTTCCATGAAGGGTGAAACAATAGCAATTTCGTTGAAATCCTTGAAACGATTTTTGAAGTCATCCTTCAAGTTAGAGACTATTTCTACATGATATTTACTGTCATATGGTTCTAATGGATTTTGAGATATCTTTTCTGAAAGAACAGGAAAATGCCTGGTGTCACTTTCGATTAAGATTTTTTTCCAAAACTCAAGCTTTATGATGAACGCTTTTATATCAGACATCATTTCTGCTAGTTCTTTGTCTCTCATTTGAAGCTGCAAATTAAGTTCATTTAATTTTGCTGTAATATCCACAAAAAAACCAAAATCTCTACGCCACATTGAATTTTCCAGTTCCGGAATCGGTCCATCATGTTGTTTGAAAAACTGATATGATACAATTACAACGTTTCAGCACTCGTCCCCTACTTAACCATCGGACTTCAGAGTGAAGACGTATTGACAGTCAATTTCATCGGACAAGGTTTTGAATAATATTCTTTTTAACGCTTGTCCACATAATGCTTTCTGATGGATAATGCAGTGGTAACAGAGAAATTGCGGAAAATTTTCATCTTTACGACATAACCCCACGAGACCCTTACCACAACCCACCATAGCTGGAGCGCCATCGGTTGTCAAGCCCACCATTTTCGATATTGGAATTTTCTCAGAAGAAATAATATTTTTAAAATAAGAAAACAATTCCTGCCCAGTGGTATGTCCTTATAGTGGAATAAGCTTCAAAAGATCTTCTTTAATCGTAAAATCACTAAAAATCATCCTGACGAACACGGCCATCTGAGCGGTGTCAACGACAGCTGTGGATTCATGCAGCGGCAGTGTCATTTATTAACTGTAAAACTAGATAATTGCTCGTTACTTCTACTCGTCTCATCGCTGTATTAGCAGAAAGTTGCATAGATTTTATACCAGACACTATCTCGTCTTTATTTCTAAAGTTGGCAAATAATGAATCTGAAGCTTCTAAAAACGCCTGTTTAATCATTTACCCGTCTCCATAAGGTTTCTTTTTTTGTGTAATTATCTAGAACACCCGGTATGATTCATCAGTTGCAGCCTCAGTTTTATCGATTGTTTTTAAAAGCATTGCCTGTTGTCCAATTAAATGATTTTGTAATTGCTTCAGTTTTTCCGTTCTGGTTGCAGAACGTAATGGGAATGACTTTTCAAAATTTGAATGTACAGTTTTATAGTGCCTCTCGATATAACCTTTTTTAGCAACGGAAACAGATGTGTTACATAACAAAGATACATGTTTACCTTTAAGTTTTGTAAAGAAATATTGTTATTCCCATTTCGATTGTAAATGGTATGTCTGCATCTTCTTACTACTGCTCATAATGTTTCTAATTGCAGGCCAACTCTAACCCAACCGCTGGACTTTGTGCCGTTCAGTTTAAAATGAGCGCACTGTCGCCGCGCCTTGCGAATTTATTCCGATCAAAGTAATCGAGATCGTTCTCGAACAGATCGCTCCCCGCAGTGTTGCCACTGCTTGTGTTTATCATGAGAATTTACATAGCTTACTGAAGCTTCTATGATTTTTACACCTTTTTAAAATATGTTGTGAGCCACCAGAATTGCCTATGCGAGATAGCTCGCGATCGACGGGTTGGCGACCACTGCTTTAGAGTTTTGGTGTAGCTTACAGACACAACAATTATTCTTAATAGTTATTTTCCAATAGTATAACCTAACAATGTAAATTGGGATACAGTTCCAACAGACAGCTTGTAGTTTTCAATCTCGCAGTGTTTGATTCTGCTAATAGATCGCACATATTTCGATAGCCCTCATGCTCTGGATAGAGGACAGTTGCTCAGCTTTCGTTCGTTGTCCTACCTGAGATCAAGCCTGGACCATATGCCTAATAGCACTATGCTTTTTATGGTTGGCCGTCTGTGGTCTAACGAACGACAGCTATATTACTAGGTATAAGCTAACTGGCAATGAAGTTTTGATCAGTTTCAGAAAAATTTCTGTAGGAGTTGTAAATGGGGTTGTAGGGGATGGTTTGTTGTAATTGTTGCATCTTTGATATCAGTGAGAGACGATGTATTATCAACAAGCTTCTGATCTCGGTGATACCACGTACCTTCCAGGCAAATTAAATCGCTGATAAGGTCGAATCATGCCGTAAACGACATTGTTGAAAACTTTTTTCAACATATATAGAATACAAGTGGTTGGAACTAGGCACACGGAGATAACTTGAGACATTGGTTTAGATAATAGCCTTACGTACCCCTAAGGCAGGTCGAAAAAAGTACGTGAGCCAGAAATTCAACCAATAAGAAGGCGTCTTTGAAGTGATGGATCTAATGGATATGGTAGATTTCTTGTGAAAGGATTATCAAACTAAAAAAAAATATACAATTTCTGTAGATGGGCCCCTAATTAACATATTAAGTCGTGAAGTACGCCATGAATCACTTGGTTTAGCTACAAAATCTAATGAAAAATTAGCGCTTGCGTCATATTCGAATCATGGACTCAAATCTGATACAATATCTACAGGGTGGCCGATATGTAACTGACTAGGATGTAGTTCTTAGGTTAACTGAATTTTGTATGGCCGCAAAGTCCTTTTTTTAAATTAGTGCATAATGATGTGCGACGAATACCCAGTTCTTGAGAACGATGTCAGGTAGACGTCTCAGGGCGCTCCACTACACTTCCACGAACTCTCTCAATATTTTCAGGAGTACGAACAGTTCGAACAGGGCCCGACCTTGGCAAGTCTGGGCACACTATTTTGACCGAAATCTTGTCGTGGCTTCTGAATCGTTGAAAAAATCGACTCATTATTCAAGTAAAACGTTTTAACAATATGTGTGATTGTTTAGTGCTCCATGATGAATTGGACACATGCGCTGTAAACAACTCCTACTGCGGCATCTACTGAAATGTGTGTATCAAAAATGGCGCGCAATTTAAACCAGTCAGTTATATATTGGCCCCCCTGTAGATTGATTTGACAGCAAGCACATTTGCATTTTATTGAAAATAAGAGTGTCTTACTGTTGCAGTATAAAATTCTGGTTCATAGATTATTTGAAGACATAGATAAAAATACAGAATGCTTATTCAGTAATAAACGTCTCGCGCTCTCTACTGGGCAGTAGCCTAGCCTCCGTAACCCCGGCGCAGCGTGGTCATGTAGTCCTCCTACCGACCAGTAGAGTGCGCGACATCTTCCTTTTAACAGTAAGTAAATTGATTATTCACTTGATGTGATGAAGAATAAGCATTCTGTAATTTCATTTATGTCTTCAAAGACTTTATTAAGCAGAAGTTAGGACAGCACCAGATAGACACTGTTATTTTCTATAAAATGCTCAGCAACGGAGTCATGTCAAGGTTTCACCCAAGTTTCGAGGCCACAAATACTTTTTGATTGATGAAATTTACGTCAGTTTTTGTGTCCGGCCACTAATGAAAAATAGGTTTTTGTAGCTGAATCATGTGATATATGGGATATTTCTTTATTTAATATGGTAATTAGGAGCCCATCTAACACAAATTGTATAATTTTGCTCAGTTTGAGAGATATTTCACACGAAATGGACCAAATCCATCATACCAATTACATCAAACGCCTTCTTATTGGTCAATTTTGTGCTAAAGGCACAAAATTTTGATTCTCGGTCGATAGTAAAATTATGATATTTGTGGACCTCAACGCTCTGACTCAAGTATTACAGTAATGTTGCTTTCCATAAAATTTAACATGTGTGGAATATTTACTTGCTGAAATCTTCTTGTAGTTTTGAATGTTTTGCTGTATTGGCATTTATGTCGATTTCTCTATTTGCTAAAACGCCAACTCATCGCTTTCACTAGTAAAGTTGAAGCACGGTAGGTAAAGCGGCGATCAAATCATCTGCGGTGGTGCATTTCCAGCGTCCGTAATCCCTAAAACTATCCCAAACCTGGGATCGTTGCAGCTTATCCCACCAAATCAAGCGATCGCTAGCCATGGATTCGATTCGGCCACTTCCGATAGAACTATTTCGTAGCTACCTTCGGTGGCAACGAAAAGCGCAGATCCATCAGATAATGTAACTCTCGGCGTACAGTCGATCTACGAGTAATCCTCGTGCCTTACAAAGGGTCACTCGTCGAACGGATATAGTACAGTCGTTTTATGCCTCAAGATCGGTGATCAAACACGCGTTAACCATTGTTTGACAACAGGATGATACTGTCAACGATGAATATGTTATTCTCCGAGAAGATATCCAGCTCCGTGGTGTATTCGGATTTTCATACACAATTTCCGTTGTTACAACTGTGTTGTCAAGTAAGATCGTAGTAATTACATTAGGAATGATAAAAACATGACATCGACCTACCAAGGAAAGGCCACCCCTCAACCTTTCTCATAATTATTCCTAAGATCAATTGCTTTATTGCGTATAACAATAGGGAAATTAGAAACTTGTGTCAGGGAGCTAGAAGCCAAAAAAGAAGGATGTCAACAAAAGCCAGGATTTTTTAAGGATAAAGATGGGCAACAATACAAGTGGGGAACAGGAAATCATAGCAAGGTGGAAAGAATACTTTAACGAATTGCTAAATAGCAAAAATGAAATAGAACTGACAGATACAGTTGTGTCAACTGGATAATAAGTAATAAGAGCCCTGGGTGTGACAGTATAACTGCTGAGATATTTAAATATGGTGGAGGGATACTAGAAGAACAGGTACACACAATAATCAAAGACATCTGGATTAAAGAAGAGCTACCAATAGAATGGATAGAGGCAGCTATATGTCCGATTCATAAAAAAACGACAAAACGGAATGCCATAATTATAGGCGGATATCACTTCTAAACACGGCTTATAAGATTCTCGAAATGCGCATAAAGGACAAATTAACAACGGAAATGGAAAACATTATTGGTATCAATGTGGTTTTAGACGAGGTAGAAGTACGACAGGCCAAATATTTACACTCAAGGAACTACAGGCTGAAAGTTACGAGCACGGACTGACAACTCTGGCAGTATTTAAGCTTATGACAGAATAAAACGAGTCCAAACGTACAGAGCATTAGAAGAGTTAGGAATTAACCTAAAGGTACGAAGAATGGTGCAACTAACGTTAAAAAATACTGAAAACAGAGTTAAAATAAATACTGGAATGTTAGATAAATTTGAACTCAGTAAAGTGTCAACTATTCTTTTCAGCTATGCTTAGGGACGGTAATGCAAGAAGCGAATATCAACTGAAATCGGATACGGTACAACAGAAAACACCAGTGTTTGGCTTTTGCAGATGACATAGTGATAGTAACGAGAGACAAACAAGATTTACAAGATGTAGTGAGGAGACTAGATAAGCGGCTAGGAAATTGGGGCTATATATAAATGAAAATAAAACAAAATGTATGGAATGGGGTTATGTTAGTAGCAAAATTGGGAAGCAAAATAGAAACAGAAGAAAGAAGGACCTACGTTTTTGAAAAGGTAGAATGATTCATATACCTAGGCACAGTATTCACAAACAAACCAAATATCAAAGAAGAAATACATGCAAGACTAATGTCGGGGATGGGATGTGCATATGCACTTAACAGAACTTTAAAAAGTAAAGAAATATCGAGAAATGCTAAAATTAGAATATACAGAACAGTTATTTTACCAGTAGTAACATATGCTAAGCGAAGTGTGGACACTGACCAGAACGGAACAGAACATGCTTGAGGTTTGGGAAGGGAAGATTTTAAGGAGGATTTATGACGGCAAACTAGTTAGCAATGTTTGGATGAGAAGAACAAACAGCGAAATAAAGGAGCTATGTGGGCATCCTAGTATACTAAGAGTAATAAAGGCGCAGAGGCTAAGGTGCTTAGGCCTCATAGAAAGAATGGCATATATACGTATACCAAAATGATTCTGACGCACACAGCTGGCACAAAAAAAAGAAGAAGACGATCAAAAAGCAGATGGAAACAGGAATTAGATGAGGACTTACGAGCAATAGCGGTGCAGAGATGGGAGAACAAGGCAAGAATCTCACTTTCCAAGCCATGGGCCTACTAGGCCTCTAGTGCTTCCGTATATATATAAAGCCTGAACGGTCTTGCACCATGCCACTATCGTGTAAGCCATTTTTATATAACGAAGCAGCCGCGAATGCAGAAGCCTAAATAGCACCGCTGATGATATGAGGACAAATTTTGTTTAACCGATTTTAAAGTGCCTAAGGATAGTAGAGGAGGAAAAAGACTTCTTACGTAGATCGTTCCACAAGCTCGATACCCATACCGGCCAGTTCCCGATGTATAAAGTTCAACTCGGTTAGGATGGGAGACCAAAGTCAGACAAGTCTGTCTGGCAGGCACATCGCGCGGCGGGATCGTGGATGAGAGCCATGAAGAGCATGGCCAGTTGGCATAGTGGTAGAAGAGGGATAGTCGCTGCGAGGGGGAGCCATTCAGCCCTCCTTAACAGCATCGAGTATGGATAATGTAGTCGCAGCGGCAGCACCACAAACATGTAAGCAGTACTCGAAGCTAGGTTTCAACTCGGCCTTGTACTAAGTGGAGAGGTTATGTGGAGAAAAGTACTTCTTAGTGCCAAACAAATAGGCTAGCCTTTTGCCAGCAGTTGCCCCTATTGACAAGATGTGTTCCTGCCAGATCGAGTACTCGATGATCTTGACTCCGACCAGCTGTAATAAACGGGTCTTGGTAGAACTCTGCCATTCATCGAAACCAGATGAGCGCGAGGGCGCATCTTGTTAGCCAAGGTACAGTACTGTGTCTTGGAAGCAGTAAACTGTACCCGATTTTTGCGTCTCCGAGCAGTGATTACTTCCAGATCTCTTGTCACACAAGAAGTCGCTGCTAGTCTTTTTTTTTCCTCGCAATTTTAGGATAAGGAGAAGAATCCATCAATTATGGGAGACACTTTGCGGCCAAAGAAGAAGTCAACCACCCATTTGCAACTGGGAGATGAAAGTTCGCATAAAAGGGCATCATGCCACAGCTAATCGAAAAAATTCCTAATATCAAGAGCAACGACGATAAGAATGAGTGAAAGATCTATCCACCTGTCGTTTTCCTAGTTTATCACAGAAAGCAAAGCTATAGGCCTGAAGTTGTAAGGGTCGGTCTCAGATCCTTCTTTTTTGGCAATGCGCTTAAGTTCTATGGGAAAGTGACGAATTCTTAAGATATCCGGAAGAGGCGCGAAAGAACTGGAGTAATCTCCGTTGCTCATCTCTTCAGTACAACAGCAGGAACCAAGTCCGGACCAGACTTTTTCTTGAAATACAGCAACAAGGGCACCTGTCTTATGGTCTCTTGCTTCCATGTTACTTCTCGCGTAGTGTAGGAAGGCCTATTAATTGGCGTAACTCGGGGGTTGGGGCGAAAGTCCGTGGTGGATTTGGCGGCAAGCACTTCCGCCTTAGCCTTTGCGTTGGTTACAATCGTTCCATCGTGACGGAAGTGGAGGATGACTACTCTTTTTAGAAGTTCCCTTCAATCTGCTTGGTCAACGTTCAGAGAGAGACCGACTGAACATTATCCTATGCCTAAATTCTACATCGTGCTGGGCTTTGGCACTGCGAATTGCAATCATTACGATTTCATAATGAAGTAGGCATTCCCGCTTCCAAAGATATGCAGCCTCTCCACAGCGTCAAGCTAGCATGAGGCGATCTGTTGTTTTTTGGATATGCCAGCCACACACTCTCGCTCGTCGCCTAGAAAATGCCAAGTGACCTCCAGAGCGCAACGGCAAACTCAAAATAGTTGTATTGCTGCACCGCCATGGTTCATGGTGTAGCGCGTCGGGCTAGCAGCCGGGGATCACGGGTTCGTATCTCCTCCTCGGAAGTTAAATCCGAGCCATGGATGTTGTGTTGTCTGTCAGACACCAGATTGGTAATTGGTTTGTTCGTACAGTGGTCGATGACTTGTCGTTGACTATGTCTGGGTTCCGCCCGTGTGAATTCCATCTATACATAGCGTTCATTTGGAAGAAGAAGGTTACATATCAAAATTTTTCATTTTCCGTTTTATTGCGTTAATAATTCAGAAAATGTGTTTACATTTATGTTGAAAATGGTTACTTCTGTAGTTGTAGCCTTTTGCTGAGAGATGGCAGATATAACCATTTTCCACATAAATGTAAACACTTGGGGTCGGCAAAGAGGGTTAAAGGTGGCCTGATTGTCAGGCTTGCCTCCCCACTACTACTACTACTGCAACAGCCTCAAGGGCACCATGTTGTTTATCTTGCCAGAATATAATCTAGCATACAACAGTTTTCATTGAATCGCCAGAAAACGTGGAGATTTATCAGCACAGAAAGCTTTCGTGTTTTGTAACATATCCTTAGCCCAGCATATGTTTCAAATGGTACGTTATACGTATTAGCGCTCTTTTAGCACCTAGCTGAATATCTAGAAACTCAAATCTTGGTTACTCCGATTCCTGGACTATAAGGAAAGCTCATCCATCGAACAGCCAGAAATTGGTTGGGCATTGTCCGACCGGTTGGCAATTTGTAGTCATTGTGCTGCCCTCTATCTCACTGTTCACGCTTCGTGGACACCACCTGAAAGAAGGTATTGTCTACGGATAATTAGTGATAGGATTGTCACTTAGCACTACCGAGGCAATACGTATAAAGCTGCTTTGCTCGGCAGTGACAAGGCAACCTATAAGCTCAGGGTATCAGCTTTGCGTTTGAAGATATCTAATATTATTTGACTATCAGCCTGAGTTGTTAACAGCTAGTTTTGTATTCTTTGACAGAGCGTTGCTATTGGAGTCAGGGTAAGATCATACAGTCCAGATATCACACAATATCATGCATTTTTCTGAAGCTGGTAACAGAACATAATATTTTGGTATATGCTGAGTGACAAAAAAGGTACACATCTACTGATGTTTATCCGATTTTAATAATTTTTGGCATATACGAGTATGTTCAGTGTCCTTTACTAGTAAAATGATTAAATTTTCAGCTTGATTCGTCAACTGACTGCAAAAGCTGGTTCAATAATGTGTTGAAGAGATAGTATAAGAAAATCATTATAGATACGAAAGTCCTGGAATATCTTTATCTAGGATGCTGAGGTGAGGTAGATTTACCGATTATCTGAAAATCCCAAATGCCCAGCATATGACCATATTTGAAAATAAAGATCCAGGATATGAAAGAAGTAATCCGTTGATGACCTCAAATATCAGCCAAATAATTACCTCAGAGGACATTTGTAGGTCAAATTTCATAAGCAGCAGCGGTGGCCGCAGTAGTAGACTCTTCGGTCTCCTGATCAGTCGCCGTGCGCTGTGCGGGTTTGAGTCTCGTCCCAGGAGAAATTTTTCTCTTGGCTATGGATGTTGTGATTGTCCGTAGGTGGTAGATGGTCTCTGACTGTCGAACGCGGAGGTACCACCCGGCGGTTCTCGTAGGCGGAGCCAGAATGTGTGCAGGTTGCATGCACACGTGTTACCTCGCCAGAGTCCGTGTGGCGTCCCTCCCTTTCCCATGTATCCCCCTATAGCCCCACGGTACCCAATGGGTGCTTAGGCCTTAGGCCTTCGTGGTAGTTCGAGTATAAAAAAAAAATAATTGAAATAACTACCGTTTTATTTCTCGCGCCTACTGGCTAGGAAAGAATTGTAATCGCGAAAATGATCGGAAATGAGATATTATGTTTTTTGGATGTTATGACATGTACGAGTACATCATGAAAAACCACGCCACTTATTTCCATCTGTCTGTCTGCTAATCCTATACCCGCCTATAACTTGAGAAATACCGCTCGGATTTCGATGAAATTTTTACACAATGTTACTTCTATGCCAAGGACGCAAAAGGTTCAACTGGTCCAGTGGCGGCGGAGAAAAAGGCCAGAAACAAAAGAAAAATCGCTTAAGCTTCGTTTTTTGACGTTTCAGACGATCCTGATCTCTTTCGAAAACATTTTGTAGAGGTTCGAAATTGTAGGGGTTGCAGGGGGGTGAGAAAGGGTATATATCAATTCTTGACGTTGTTGTATATATATATATATATATATATATATATTTCCAGCCCCAGTAATCCTACGTACTAATAGGCATATTTCACTCATCACAGATGTCCTCAAAGATTCACCCTTAAAACTTGGAAAGTCAGGTGTCGATCCATCACAGTCGGCAATCATAATCCTTTAGGAACTGATGATAGCGTGGCGTGGGAAGTTCGGAGTCTACTTACTTGATGCCATTTTTTGATACCAGATTCTTGTAGGGACCGAGATTCTACATCAGATTGCATTTTCATACTCTTTTTTGACAGAAGCAAGCTTTTGTAGCCACTCTCTACAGTGTGGGAGTCTCGAGAAATGCGGCATACTTATAAAGCGCCTCAGTCGTTTGCTACACCTCCGGCCATAGTCATGCTTGCTGCATTTCGTAATAATGGGCAGCGTTGTGCCAAGTTCTCATACCATAGGTCATCTTATGATTAGCGGCATGTCTTATGTACATGCCCAACCTTGTTTTCTTGGTCTACTTTTGTCCTCCTGCACCTTGGTGACCATCAATTGCCTCACACAGAATCGTCAGATTCTAGCGGTCACACAGGAAACTTGGCTATCAAGCGCGAGCTGAGATCTTTATATTTACAACCGATAGCTGCAATACACTCTCGCAAGGGTGGATTCTGGTAACAGATAACGCTTTACGGTGTCTTATTTCAATAGATCTCATACCTCGGACATAGGACAAGTTCTTCATTTCAGAGACCAAGCATAGTCCATACTGATGAGTTGCCAAACAGCAAGATACAGCTATCCATGGTTGCCTATCTTTTGTCGGAAGGGTGAAAGCAGCATGTCTACTTCTACGGTGTCTAGAAAAGTATGGAATATGATGCCATGTGAAGAAACTTGATCATCCATGATTGAGATAACAGCCCTTAGATATTGAGAAAATTTCAGTGCTAAGAGTCTTATTTTGTATAAGTTTTATATTCTGTATTTTCTACCGGTGGATCCCGACTTGCAGGAAATGTAAAAAATTAATAAATACAATAAGAGACTAAGACTAAGATTAGAGAACAATTTATGATCTATAGAAATAAATGACCGACTCAGAACTTTTTTACATTATATATATGACGCGACTCATAAATAGAGTTCAAAAGACCGCACATGACATGAATCGGTAATTTCAACATAACGTTCGTGCGGCCAGCTCGACAATAAAATGCCGTTTTGTGAGGAAAACCTAGCCGAGGAATGCGGAAATATATTTTTTCAAGTAAGTCCGGACAGACAATTTCATTGTGATGAAGCCATGTAAAAACGACAAGGGAAAAATATTACGTCTCATGGACAGTGAATCTAAGCTAAAGAAGTCTAAGACAGATAATAACCGGTACATTTAAGGTAAAAATACTGTATGGCCTTACATTGAACGGCTTCAGATCAGTTTTGTATATTCTAACCTGCTACTAACAAAATAACGTTATTAAAGTGTTGAAATTGGTTAATTCCTTCCAGTTTCTGATTTAGAGGCCAAGTAGTCTACTGGCAGCCGATGAGGTATTAAGTATGTGCTCGTTGAACATAAGCTTGCTGACAGAGGTGACTCTGAGGTCCTTATGAATCTCTCAATAACCTGACCATTGATGTTATAGTTACTATACAGGGTGTTCACTTGAAAACTTCCCACCACGGATCTATCAAAGAGCACTGATTTAAAGAGAAAACGCCGAGACCCGTCAAGGATTTGTCAAGGGGGACAACTTTTTAACCAAAAACTACTTCACCTTCTGCCGCCTAGGGACATCCCCTTAAAAATTATGAATGACAACGGGTACCTAGTGATAGCTTGTTTGAAAGGTCTTTTGAACGTTTGATTTTTCAAAATCAGTCGATTCGTTTTCGAGAAAATTAGAAAAACCTTTATTTGTCTTAATTTGTTCAGATAGAAAACAAAAATTCTCGAAAATATAACTTTTTATTGCAATAAGTGTTCAAAATGTTGCCAGTTATTGGCCAAATAATGATATAGGCGATGTTCAAATTCCTGACGGACATTTTCAAAAGCATGTTGTGGGATATTATGGCAGCTTTCTATGATGCGTTGACGAAGTCGGTACCAAACTTTCAGGTTGGGGAGTAATCACAATAGATTCCAAATGTATCCATAGAAAAGAGTCTAATGGCGTCAAATCAGGAGATCTAGCAGGCGATTCTATAGGCCCTCTTCGCCCTATCCATTTATCTGGAAACTCGTCGTCTAATCATTACCGAACCGGAAGAACAAGTGAAGAGGAGCGTAGTCTTGCTGGAAATATATTTCAGCCTCATCAAGTATTGGGTTTCCATCCTCTTCGATTTGGTTTCCAATGGTTTCAGTGATAAGTGGATTGATGGTGTTTTGCAGCGTATCCAAATAAATGTCTCTATTCAAATTTATAAATTATGGCCCAATCACTTTCTTAAAGTGCCTGCCCATATATTAATTTTTTGAGGGTACTGGGTATGCCCTTCTACAAAAGCATGAGGATTTTCATTGCTCCAATACCTGCTGTTATAATTACTAACAAATCCATTTAGATAAAATGTGCATTCATTACTGAAGCAGATATTCTCGTTACATGCATGGTGTTATCATCAATCGCGGGAGTCATTTATTCACAAAACTCGCTCATCGAAATCATCTTCGGCTAACTCTTGCAATATTTTTATTTTGGATGGATGAAATTTATCGAGTTTAGTAACTGTGTCAGTAGCAATACTGCGTAATGAAGTATTAGGGTTTATTTCAAAATAACCCAAAACTTCAACTTGACCGGCTTCATCCAAAACTCTCCGATGATCACGATTTTTATTTGTAACAGATACAGTTTGAGTAAAATTAGTAACAAGGTCCAGAAGATACATATGCAAAGTTATCTACCCTGGATGTCTGGCGTTAAACGTGGCGGCAGTTTGCCGAGCACAATGATTTTGGGCACCATAAATTAGAATCATTTCCACTCTTTCGGCTCGTGTGTATACCATTTTGGAAGTGAAATCTAAATTAGTTTTCACTATCCCAAGACTGTCACAAAGGTAACTGACAGCAAATTAAATTATTTGTTTCCCTTAGCAACAAATAACTAAACAGGTACTCGTATAATAATAAATACAGTTCACCCAGGATATCTGTGTTGATCAAAATAATGCGGAAAAAACTTTGGATTACTATTTGGTTGTTGCCACGTCAAATCTTCCGAACTGCTGTTTATGTTGGTAGTTTCCGTTTTAAACTATAAACGAATTGTAGATTTGGAAAACTCTAACGGGCAGCATCTTTTGATGTGTCTCAGCGTGATGTTCGATATATCCTTGGTAGGAAGTTTTTACATGAACACCCTGTATATTAAATAGTTTGCCTTTATGTTTAATGCACAACTCCACATTGTGAAACATTCAAACTGAGACAGTTTTTTTGAGGACCATGATGAAATTCAAGCTAAATTATCTTGCAACATGACACAATCAACCATCGTCTTCACTGACGTATACATTTTAAAGTCGTCAGTAAGACTCTTGACCTCAAAATACAAAAGATCTAGAACAATAATCGACCTAGATTTGACCCTTGAGGTACACCGAAGGTGGCCCGACTGTAATTCTTGACCAATAGCCTCCATATTCTACAAATAACCTCTAGTATGAAATATGAAATCATGAGAGACAGCACTCCCTTAGAAAGCCAATGATCCAGAAGTAATGAACTTGTTCACATGCCTTCTGGATATCTGTATAGATAAAAGAAAGTTGTCCCTGAGTGTCTAATATTTCAGACATGTACAGGGTGTTTCAGTTTATTGTTGCATAACTTTAAGATTCGATAGAACTTTTAAAATTAATACATAAAGTCTATATAAACATGGGTCGAAAAATGCGTGGCTTACGAAATACAGGGTGTTGAAATTTACTTTTTAAAATAGTTTTTTTTTTAAATATTTCGAACAATATTTGATCTATAACAGTGAAAATTGGTACACAAGAGTTTTTTGGTATCACAAAACGGACCATGGGCATAGTTTTACTGTAGCCGCTAGAGGGCACTCTAGTGTACCTGTAGTGTAATAAAATGGCCGAAAATTTTTTCTTAGTGCAATTTTTTGCTTTTTGAAAAAAACTGATTCTTCGCACTTTTCTGCATAAAAGAACCCTCCTGTGAGTTTTCGTTATAGTTAGCCTTTTTTGAGATATTTCGATTTTTAAGGTTCGATGCATTTTTAATTATTTATGGGAAAATAATATTTTTTTTACATTTTCGATTTGGGCATTACAAGTAATTAAGATGATCGTTTAGATTGTGTTTTTAAACACAGCAATAATTCCTAACTCCAAATAAACACAAAAAAACAGAATATTAATTTGTATAATTTTCCAATATTATTTTTAACAAATTAAATTTATTATTTACAACTAAAATGCTATTGGACAGTTAGGACAAACATACAAAATCTAAAGTAGTTGCTCGAAATGTAAACCCAATTGCTCAATACATAATTAACATCTACGAATGATCCAACGTGGTATAGCATTATTGAAATAGGCCTTATTTCATCACATGCATTCCTGATTCTGTCTATTAGCATATCTCTTGTGGTTACGGGAGCCTGGTACACTTTTTCTTTTAGAAATCCCCACACAAAGAAATCTAACGAATTTAGGTCAGGGGATCGTGGACGCCAGGCGACTGGTCCTCCACGGCCGATCCATCTTTCTGGATAATTTTCATCCAGCCAGTTTCTAACTATTCTCGAATAATGAGCTGGACAACCATCAAGCTGGAACAAGGCCAATCTTCTTAAATCTAACATAACATCATCCCACATATTTGCATGATCAGCCTTTAAAAATTCCAAGAAGGTAGCAGCATTTAACCTTGCAAGCAAAAGGTAGGGTCCAAATAGTCGATTACGGTAGATACCAATCCATACGTTCACACTAAATTCATACTGAAAATTTCTTTCCCGAACTGCATGCGGATTTTCATGCAACCAAATATGTTGATTATGAAAATTTACCACTCCACGTCTAGTGAAGCATCGATCCATAAAACGTTACTTAAAAACTCCCTATTATTATCAGTTCTATCAAGAATCCACTGACAAAATGTGATTCTTCGTTCTCCGTCCCCTGGCTATAGTCCTTGCACAGGTTGCAAATGGTAAGGACGTCTATGGTCATTTCTAAGAACACGGTGAACATGGCTTGCTGAAATTCCCAAAGCACCAGAAACTCTCCTAACACTTGTGGTCGGATCTCTATCAAACTCACGCAGAATCATAAGGATAAATCTGCGCTGACGAACATTTATGTTTTGATCCCTTTGGAGATTTCCAAAACCATTTTCAATTATTTCGCGATGCACACTTACAAATACTGAGCGAGTTGGATGTCGTCTGTTTGGAAATCTTCGTCGTATTCTCTGGCTGCTTCTGCTGCTTTTCCATTTACAAAGCCATACACAAAATGAATATCCGCTAACTCTTGATTGGAGAATAAAAATAGCATTTTTATAAAACTTGCAAAAAAAACAGGTAAAAGAAACTAAATTTCGTGTATTCACAATTGCAAAAAAAATGTTTCAGATTTCAACAGACAACAAAACTAACTGTCAACTAATTGACGTTTAACCTTAATCTGCTTTCAATTTCAAAAATATTTGCCTACTGCTAAAAATTATCGAGATACTGACTTTTTAACGTTATTTTATCATAAATAATTAAAAATGCATCGAACCTTAAATATCGAAATATCTCAAAAACGGCCAACTATAACGAAAATTCACAAAAAAACTTTTTTATGTTGAAAAGTGCGAAGAATCAGTTTTTTTAATCAAAAAGCAAAAAATTGCACTAAGAAAAATTTTTCGGTCATTTTAATACACTACAGGTACAGTAGAGAACGCCCTCTAGCGGCTACAGTAAAACTATGCCCATGGTTCGTTTTGTCGAACCAAAAAACCCTTGTATACCAATTTTCACTATTATAGATCATATATTGTTCGAAATATTTAAAAAAAACTATTTTAGAAAGTAAATTTAAACACCCTGTATCTCGGAAGCCACGCATTTTTCGACCCATGTTTATATAGATTTTATGCATTAATTTTAAAGGTTCTATCGAATCTTAAAGTTATGCAACAATAAACTGAAACACCCTGTATACAGTAATCAGGGCAAAGTTATGTAACCTCACGATATCCCGGCATCCCATCTAAATACAGATACTGACATATCACCCACCTGATCGCCTGCAGTGTGGCCTCAACCTTAACATGAACCTTTGGCGGTGCATTGGATCCCAGCCCACACACAGTATATACTATAACTTCACCGTCATTTTGCGTTCCACCACTGTCCTCCAGAGAAAACATGTCTGAATAAAAACCCTTCTAGCAAACATACAAGCCAAGACTCGGCAGGTCGCCATCTCATCGATCTCCGCCGAAATTAACCCCCAAGTGGCGATGTCGCCTCCTCGTTAACCCCCAAGGAGGGTGACGGGGGTAACAGCAGCAAACTGCTGCTTGCTGCAGCGCATTCTTGGCCGAAGGCAAAAAGTGAGGTTAAATCCGCTCGACCCGGCTGCGACGAAGCGGTAATTTCATTAATGCAAGTGTACGGGCGGAAATGGTGACAACGGTATAGCACAACTATAGTGTCACACAGTGCAGTGACAACCTTTAAATGAGGTGTGGTTGTGCACAAGGATATATGTGCACTATTTAAGATAATAGTAATAATAGTTATACTAATTAATAATAGTTATACTAATTAATAATAGTAATAATTGTTATACTATTAAAAATAGTTATAGCAGGCTGGACATATTATTACACAAAAAACAAAGATAACGTTCGTAATAGATACACCAGTCCCTAAAACAAACAGCTTATCAAATGTCACTCAGGAGAAGTTACGTATACATATATGTATACCTACAGGGTGTTCATTTGAAAACTTCCCGCCTTGGATTTATAGGGTGTTTCAGTTTATTGTTGCATAACATTAAGATTCGATAGAAGTTTTAAAATTAATGCATAAAGTCTATATAAACATGGGTCGAAAAATGCGTGGCTTCCGAAATATAGGGTGTTTAAATTTACGTTTTAAAATAGTTTTTTTTTTTAAATATTTCGATATTTGATGTATAATAGTGAAAATTGGTATACAAGGGTTTTTTGGTACGACGAAACGAACCATGGGCATAGTTTTACTGTAGCCGCTAGAGGGCGCTCTCTACTGTACCTGCAGTGTATTAAAATGACCGAAAATTTCTTCTTAGTGCAATTTTTTGCTTTTTGAATAAAAAATTAATTATTCGCACTTTTATGCATAAAAAAGCTCTCCTGTGAGTTTTCGTTATAGTTAGCCGTTTTTGAGATATTTCGATTTTTAAGGTTCGATGCATTTTTAGTTATTTATGGGAAAATAATATTTTTTTTCACATTTTCAATTTGGGCATTACAAGTAATTAAGATGATCGTTTAGATTGTGTTTTTAAACACAGCAATAATTCCTAACTCCAAATAAACACAAAAAAACAGAATATTAATTTGTTTAATTTTCCAATATTATTTTTAACAAATTAAATTAATTATTTACAACTAAAATGCTATTGGATAGTTAGGACAAACATACAAAATCTAAAGTAGTTGCTCGAAATGTAAACCCAATTGTTCAATACACAATTCACATCTACGAATGATCGAACGTGGTATAGCATTATTCAAATAAGGCCCTATTTCATCACATGCATTCCTGATTCTGTCTATTAGCATATCTCTTGTGGTTACGGGAGTCTGGTACACTTATTCTTTTAGAAATCCCCACACAAAGAAATCTAATGGATTTAGGTCAGGGGATCGTGGAGGCCAGGCGACTGGTCCTCCACGGCAGATCCATCTTTCTGGATAATTTTCATCTAGCCAGTTTCTAACTATTCTCGAATAATGAGCTGGACAACCATCAAGATGGAACCAGGCCAATCTTCTTAAATCTAACATAACATCATCCCACATATTTGCATGTTCAGCCTTTAAAAATTCCAAGAAGGTCGCAGCATTTAACCTTGCAGGCAAAAGGTTGGGTCCAAATAGTCGATTACGGTAGATACCAATCCACACGTTCACACTTAATTCATGCTGAAAATTTCTTTCTTGAACTGCATGCGGATTTTCATCCGACCAAATATGTTGATTATGAAAATTTACCACTCCACGTCTAGTGAAGCATGACTAATCGGTTCATAAAACGTTACTTAAAAACTCCCTATTATTATCAGTTCTATCAAGAATCCACTGACAAAATGTGATTCTTCGTTCTCCGTCCCCTGGCTGTAGTCCTTGCACAGGTTGCAAATGGTAAGGACGTCTATGGTTATTTCTAAGAACACGGTGAACATGGCTTGCTGAAATTCCCAAGGCACCAGAAACTCTCCTAACAGTTGTGATCGGATCTCTATCAAACTCACGCAGAATCATACGGGTAAATCTGCGCTAACGAACATTTATGGTTTGATCCCTTTGAAGATTTCCAAAATCATTTTCAATTATTTGGCGATGCACTCTTACAAATACTGAGCGAGTTGGATGTCGTCTGTTTGGAAATCTTCGTGCGGATTCTCTGGCTGCTTCTGCTGCGTTTCCATTTACAAAGCCGTACACAAAATGAATATCCGCTAACTCTTGATTGGAGAATAAAAATGGCATTTTTATAAAATTTACAAAAAAAAACAGGTAAAAGAAACTAAATTTCGTGCATTCACAATTGCAAAAAAACGTGTCAGGTTTCAACAGACAACAAAACTAACTGTCAACTAATCGACGTTTAACCTTATTCTGCTTTCGATTTCAAAAATATTTGCAGGCACAGCCTACATATAAAAATTATCGAGATACTGACTTTTTAACGTTATTTTATCATAAATAATTAACAATGCATCGAACCTTAACAATCGGAATATCTCAAAAACGGCTAACTATAACGAAACTTCACAAGAGAGCTTTTTTATGTTGAAAGGTGCGAAGAATCATTTTTTTTATTCAAAAAGCAAAAAATAGCACTATGAAAAATTTTTCGGTCATTTCAATACACTACAGGTACAGTAGAGAGCGCCCTCTAGCGGCTACAGTAAAACTATGCCCATGGTTCGTTTTGTCGTACCAAAAAACACTTGTACACCAATTTTCACTGGTATACATCAAATATTGTTCGAAATATTTTAAAAAAAACTATTTTAGAAAGTAAATTTAAACACCCTGTATTTTGGAAGCCACGCATTTTTCGACCGATGTTTATTTAGACTTTATGCATTAATTTTAAAAGTTCTATCGAATCTTACAGTTATGCAAAAATAAACTGGAACACCCTGAAAACCACTGATTAAAAGAAAAAACGCCGAGATACGTCAAAAGATTTGTCAAGGGGGACAACTTTTTAAGTAAAAACTACTTCACCCCCTTTCACCCTCTGCCCACGGAGTCATCTCCTTAAAGATGTCTGATGACAAGACGTATCAAGTAACAGCTTGTTTAAAAGGTCTTTCAAAGTCCTATACTTTGACATTTGATTTTTTTAGATAGGTCGATTCGTTAACAAGAAAATTAGACAAATCTTTATTTATCTTGTTCAGATAGAAAACAAACTATAACTTTTTATTTCAATAAGTGTTCAAAATGTTGCCCGTTAATGTCCAAACAATGATATAGGCGATGATTTCGATGATGCGTTGACCAAGTTTATCCAAAATTTTGAGGTTGTGGAGTAAACACAATAGATTTCAAATGGCCCCATAGAAAAAAGTCTAATGGCGCCAAATCAGGAGATCTAGCAGGCCATTCCATAGGCCCTCTTCAGCCTATCCATTTACCTGGAAACTCTTCGTCTAGCCATTGCCTAACCAGAACAACATAGTGAGGATGAAATATATTTCCGTCTTGCTGGAAATATATTTCAGCCTCATTAAGTATAGGGTTTGGATCTTCTTCAATTTGATTTATAATTTTTTCAGTGATAAGCGGATTAAAGGTATTTTCCAACATCCAAATAAATGTCTTCTTTCAAATTTCCATTAATAAACATTTTCCCAATCACCTTGTTTCCTAAAATGCCTGCCCATAAATTAATTTTTTGGGGGTACTGGGTATGCCCTTCTATAAAAGCTTGATGATTTTCATTGCTCCAGTACCTGCAGTTATGCTTATTAACAAATCCATTTAGATAAAATGTGCATTAATTACTGAAGCAGATATTCTTTACATGAATGGTACTATAGTTAATCGCGGCAGTCATTTGTTTACAAAAACTCAATTCGCCTATCGAAATCATGTTCACTTAACTCTTGCAATATTTTCATTTTGAATGAATTAATTTTATGGAGTTTAGTAACTGTATGTACAGAGCCTAATGAAATACCTGTCGCAGTGAAAATTCTGCGCAGTGATTTAGGATTAGGATTTATTCCAAAATGACCCAAAGCTTCAACTTGAGCGGCTTCATCCAAAATACTCCGATGATCACGTTTTTTTATTTGCGACAGATCCAGTTTGAGTAAATTTAGTAACAAAGTCCAAAAGCGTGAACCTAGTTCCTTTAGACACCATTCTTAGCATCATTCTCGATGACGTATTGTCGAGTGTCGCTGGAGCTTAGACTACTTATAGTATTCTGCATGCACTGGGAACACCCGCCATTAATAGTCGGTGCTCCGGCGTTCAGGTAGCGTTACGTTCTCTCTAGACGCCCTTGTATGGCAATGCCTCTCTAACCGACATTACTTATTCACAGATTTCACCGAATATTGGATTTTACTGCGACGGCGACGTGGGCTGTACGGATGTGGTCTACGGTAGTTTCATATAAAATATGTGAGGCACGTGGATGAGCTTGCAAGAAACTCCCTTTGTATAGGCTAGAAATTTGCCTTGGGCGTGCCAAGAAGGACTTTAAGGAACCGAATCAAGAAATGTCCGATACAACCCCAAGATTCTTACGTAAAAAGTCTATCTACAGTATATTCAGATAAGAGATAGACCGGACATAAACAAGACCACGTGATCATCGAACGCTGTAACATTCGGCAGGGACGTATTAAGAGTCACGCAGTACATATTTTAGATAGTAGATGCTGCTTTGCGTAACTTTGTAGTAAATTAGCACAATTCGATGTGTATACGATTGGTGATGGATATAGGATCATGTGGGGGTGGGGTAAGAAATATATAATGATGTAAATATACATAAGGGTTTCAAAATTTTCGCTTCGATTTCCAGCTTCGGATGCCGCCTGATGTTTGGTGAAATACAGTCGAATATAATCTCAAAATGGCGTTTAAATTAGCCTAAATTAAAAATAATCGTATATCTCTTAAAATT